AGTCAAAATTGAATAGTTCTTAATATAAGACAGTATAGAATCATTTACTTTAAAGTAAATAGTTAAAGTTATATAAGTACTAATTAGATAAATTAGAGAGTTTAAATAAGGCATTTACAAACATAAATTAGATATGGCAGATAGTAGATAACTTTAAAGCAGAATCTTTAAATAAACAATAACTAAAGTTGTATATATGACTAACTATGCTCTTATAAACTATGTATGTATTCAAGTTATCACTAACTAATAAAAATTGTCAGTTTGACTAAGTAATTAACTACTTATTTAAAAAAAAATTTAGATAAATCTTAATTACTCTAGTAGATTTAGGTTGTTGATAAATATATTTAAGCTTTTATTTTTAAATATAATTTTTCTGTTTTTAGTTATATATAGTTAGCAGTTTAATAATTAGATCCAACTACAAGTATTAACTTTATTATAATATTTAGAATTACTATTTCTATATAATAACTTCATATAGTTACTATCCTCAAAACTATTACTAAAAATAAGAACAAGACCTTAATACATATCACAAAAAATAATTAAATTTTCTTTTAGAAATTTTTATTTACAAATTTTTATTTGTACTTGAACTTTATTACAAAATTTATATTTAATTTTTAATTTTATAAATTATGAAAACAAATCTAATTTTGATTTCAAATTATTTTAAACCATTGACCTTGTCTGTAAGTGTTGAAAACTTAATTACTGAGTTATAAAACTCAAATTCTTATAATTTAAGTTATTATTTTTAAAAATAAATTTTATTCTTTAAAAATATATATTTTAAAAATTAAGTAATTTTAATTCAAAATTCTTTTAAAATTAAAAATTTTACAATGCATTAAACAAAACAATTTACAAGTAAAGAATCAAATTCCAATATATTTATAAGATATAATAATGTGTTATATATTATAAAAATATTAATATAAAAGTAAAATTTCCTTTTACAATGATTTTCTACAAAAATTAAATATAAAATAGATACAAATTCTTTAATAAATATACTTGTATACAAATTAAAAAACAAACCTAAAAATTTGTTTTTTAGAAGGTTTAATTAAAATTAAAATTTAGAAAATTAATTAGCCTACACGTAGTGTTTATACACTGCTATTATTTATTGAATTACAACTTCGTGTAACATGGCGCAAAACAATTTTACAAACGAAAAATTAAATCCTTGCTTATGGGTGGGCTTGGGATTGGGCAAGATATAGCTTATACCAAAATTGCGCAATAATTTTTTCGTTAAAAACCAAAAGGTGGTTTCATAAGCAAAATTTGAGACATTGGTTGGTTTTGATATTGCTCTTGTACATACATCCCGTGTACAAATAGAAATTCTCTAAAAGTTAAACTGTTAAGGTTTAATTGACTTAAATTAAAAATAAAAAAAAAATAAAAAACAATTAAAATACAAAATAAAAAATAATAATTTTAAAAAATAAAAATATATAGCAGAATATTTTATATAACAAAAATGCCAACAATAAGAGCAAAATTTCTACTTTTGACGATTTTATTATAAGAAATTGGGCACATGAACTGGATGCTGATCTCTTAATTGAAGATTTGCCCATAAATTTAGGGACATATTTATCGATCGTTATATTAATTTTGCAGGACCTAATTTTTTCTCACGCATGACTACGTATTATGTAATTTTGTTTTAGCCTTTTATAGACTGTTTTCGTAATGACTGCTGCATTGTCTCGTTAGATGCAGGTCTTTTCTTGATTAGGAATATGATTAAGTGGCGAAATGATATAAGTGTTAATAATGGTGTTGAAAGAGAATGTGTTTGCAAATGCGAAGGTGATTTTGCTAGAGGTTATCTTTTTCTTTCTTTCGCCTCGTCCCTCTCACCCCTCTTATTTTGCAGTGACTCAGCAATAAGCTTAATACTTGACAGCTGGTTTGTTAGGCGACGTATATTGGTAAGTAAGTTCAGACTCCGCAACCGTGGTAGCAGTGCAAAGATCTTGTTTTTGCTTTTATACCGATTAGACTCCACGGCTACTGCAGCAGTGCAAGGACTTTGTTTTGTAGTAATTAGCCACCATGGTTGCAGTGGTAGTGCAATGACCTTAGCAATTAGGCTCACAGTACGGGAAGGCAGTAGTAGTGCAAAAACCTTAGATTTAGGCTCCATGGCTACAGTAGTAGTGCAATGAATGACCTTCGGTGAATGGGTTGTAGCTCTGCGGCCAAAATATCGGTGCAAAAATACTTTCATTTTAAATAAGCGGAATCCACATCACATTATGAAACTGATTCTCTTCTTAGCTATAGGAGAATCTCTTCGGCGGCTTTCCCTATATGCTTAAGAATTATAGGGAAGTTGGAGCTGCGTTTTGAGTTTGGCATTTTCGAGTACATTGGAAGTGGGTTTATAACCGGCTAGTTTCAGTAGCATTGTCTTAAGGAAAAATAATTATATAGAAAATATGGTTGTAACGCTAGCGAACAGATTATCAATTGTATCGACGGTCTCACCGAATACAAGTGAGATTCGCACCCAAACCCTATGCAGGACTCTGCAATTTTGTGATATCTTTAAAATTTCACGCCGAAGTCGTCTGCTTTATGCAATGTATGTCACGCATCACTGATTCAGCTGATGACAATGATACCCAACGCAATTATAGTTTTATTTCTGGGAGCACATCTCGTCTGATGCACGCGTATGTTCTCAATAAATCATTTGGTTAATACAGTAATATCTGGAACATTAGCCAGATGCATCCAATTAATAATATATCACCCGCGTGCAATACTTTTCTCTCATCCATCTGTTCTTTATTACGCCGACGAAGTTTCAGAGTTCGACCTTTTTGCTAAAGTTTAAATCGTTTTTAAGAAGATAATTTATTTTGTTCTTTTGTTTAAATAAAGCTATAGACTAGTTTCAAAATTTTCATATTTGGAAATGCAAAAGTACTGTTCTTGATAGGATAGAAAAATAATTTATTTACGTAAAATTTGAAAATCCTATTGTTACTTCCCAATCTGATTGTAAAAAAAAAAAAAAAAAAACCAACATGGTAACTGGCTTTCTGTCATTAAATAAGGTCATAAATATCCTATTATTGTCGTGCACCAATTTAGGCACACTAACTAAAATTAACCCTTGAAATTAGATCTTCCAACTTCAAGCAGACACTAACTTCAAGCATGACATTATCGTCAAGAACAAATGATTAGTAAATTTCAAAGTCAATGTTATGTATCTATCACGGATAATGACCTTAGAATTCTCATGAAAACCAACATCGGATTCTTTTACCGAAACAGTATTTTTTGCTTTGAAGATTTTATCTTATATTTAGAAGTTTATTATTATTATATAAATACCTGCAAGAAATTTGTTTATTCGATACTTTACTATGATCAGTTTATAAAATAAATCAATTATTTATGGCACTTTTTATATGATAAAATTATTGATCTTATTTCATAAACTGAGATAGAATAAAACCGTTATTGCATACTTCGCAATATTATTAGTGATTTATAAAAATTAAAAAGATTCTAACTCTAACAAAAAACTTTCTATATTCTAAATAATCTCTTTATTCTATTATTTGTATTTGTTACATGACCAATTAGTTATATGTAGCCATATAAGAGTTGCAAATAATATTTTTAAAATTAACATATATATAGCAAAACTAAGATACCATATATTTAATTAAAGGTTCGAGATTAATCATGTTTTCTAATTTTATATTTAGTCTATATATATCGAGTACTAACTCAAAATATCGTTCTAATTAAATTTTAATTATGAAGTCCTTTAACGACTTAACCGAGCATAACTAACTTTAATTCACCCCGGTGCATTGCGCTGGCGAAGAATGAGTGAATGGCACGAAATTTCTTTTAAAAATTTTCATAATCGCCTTATTTTCATGTTGCACCCGATTTTGCAACATAATTGGTTTAGGATGGATCTGTTTTGTGGGCTGATTTAATAGAATGAAGTTACTATGACATTATTGATCACGTTAACGAACTAGAAAAAAGTGGTGCTAAAATATTTGCAGTACATCATGCAATATTTGTCACAAATTAAAAATATGCATTAGGTGTTATTTTAATAAAGCAAAAATTTCGACCACATCATGAAGTAGCAAAGAAAATAAAGTAATACACATCCCTTTCATTAAATTTCAACTATCCTTACCTTTTAAGTCTTGTCCTTATTTGCATTATTATGAAATTGGGTTTACTAGAGACATTATGACTTGTATTCAATCAACATGACTCAGTAATTATTGAAGCTACGCCATACGTGCAATACATTGCTCCGTCGCTCTCTAGCATTGTAATATGGACATATAAAACTACGGACAGATTTAAACAAATTGGGTTTAAGGTTAAGCAAGTGAGTCTATACTAGAGCTAATAACAATATACGGGGCTGAAAGTAATAAAAATGTTATTGTTCTTCATTCATTATACAATAGATTCTAGCGCGACACTGGATGCGCAGCGGTTTCATGCGTATGTACGAACGTATGCTGCGCATTAATTGAGACGTTCGACAATGGCGCAGTATAGCCACACTTGCCTTTTTTTACCAACGACAGTTTGATTGCCATTTTGGATAGATTACATATTTATTAGTCATGCGTGATGATTCTTTTAAGTTATCATGTGAAAGAATGGATCCTATAATTAATGCCGTTTTTTCGTATAAACGGAATTGGTAACTCCGAGTATCTATATATTAATAAAGCTTTGCTATAATGTTAAAAAAAGTTTATTTTTTAAACAATAAAAACAATTAATAATAATAATAATTTTATTTTGTTTTAAACGATAAAAACAAAAAAAAAACTAGTGATTATAAAACTCTTTACTCTTTAATCGTAATGGATTGTATGTTTTTATCTAAATCTAATATTTAAATGTCAGAATTATTTAAAATTTTGAACTTAATTACTTATTTTGTAGATGAAGCAGTTGCAAAGCAAATCATGCCCGATCTTTGCCATAAAATTAAAGATGTTCAATATCATACATGGCATGTTACTGATTGGAAAAATTTAGAAAAAAGGTTAACAGGTCCTGAATTTACTGCTGGTGGTCGGAATTGGTATGTTTCGGTATATGCACTATCTTTAAATTAGGCTTATACATATACTTGTTGGCAAAATCCCAAACTACTATAGTTTGGGTTTAAATCCCAAATTCTGGCCAAATTAATATCTAAAAAACTTTATTTATAATCTTTATCAAACAGTATATATTATTATAGTTATATATAATATATTTGCAGATTTTTAAAATTATTTTCTTGATTCAATTTTTTATAAATAGCGTTTGTTTTTTTGAGGTTTTGGAATTGTCCGGGTTTTACCAACAAGTATACTTATATACGAACAAATGACCAACTAATTTTAACATAATTTTTAGGCGTCTTTTGCTTTTTCCTTTTGGAAATTATAACTATAATAATAAGGACCACGTTGGTATTTATTTGGACTTCGTTGATCCATATGATGATTTACATATTACTGTACAGTTCGCTTTACTTTTGTGGAATCAAAAAGAGCCAACAAAATTTGTTAGTCATGGTACGAACGTTATAAAATATAGTACTTTAATTATTGAAATATATGGAATATAAATTATTTGCTTAATGATTATAGAAACATATCATCTTTTCACCGTTGGAGAAAGTGATTGGGGTTTTACAGGATTTTATGACTTAAATAAGCTATTCGTCCCAGCTGATGGGCGAACTCATCCACTAATTGAAAATGATGCCTGCAATGTTACTGTTCTCGTTCGTGTTCTCGAAGATCCAACTAAATATATTGGTTTAAAAGGTCGAGGGTGTTGCTTAAATTCAGTGATACAATTACTTTATTACATAAGATACCTTCAAAAGGTTTGTTCTTATTTTAAAAAACAAAAAAAATTTTCTTTTGTTCCAAGTTTGAAAATATTATACTTTTTACTTTTAATTATAGGCTTTATATCAAATTCCCATGGAAAGTGATAAATCAGCAAAATGTATTACTTCGGCTTTACAACGGATTTTTTATCAATTAAATGTTTCACACACTGAGGTTGAAACAATGGAGCTAAAAAAATTTTTTGGTTGGAATACATTTAATATGGGTAATATTCGAAATTTCATTAACATACTCCAAGATGATCTTGAAAATAAAATGAAGGTGGTGCATCTGTTTTATTATACTGTATATACAATTAATATAAAATTATTTAAAATAATATTTAAATTATTTTACGTTTTTGGTTTAGAATACAAAGGTTGATGGTACAATTAATAAACTCTTTGCCGGCATGATAAAAACTCATATTAAATGTGACAACGTGGATTATGAGTATCAACGTGTTGATGAGTACTACGGTAGAACCAATGTATTATTATATTACATTGACTAATAAATTCTATATATTTATATTAATTTATTTATATTTATTTTCAATAGATATTCAATTTACCGTTAAAGAAGGTGAAACCCTTGATGATTCCTTTATGAACTTTATTCAAGAAGAAACTTTGGATGGAAATAATAAATACGATACAGATTATTATGGCTTGCAAGTAAGTTTTCATTAATCTACTCCATCATTAAGGTAATAAGCAATATATAATGTGATATATATTTACAGGCTGCAAAAAAAAGGGCAACCTTTGAAAGTTTCCCACCTGTATTGCGCATATATTTAGACTACGATTCGGATCCGGATGGTAATTACGAGTATCCCACCGAAATTGATTTACAAAAATATTTATCTTCTCCAAATGTAGATAAATCAAAATCGTGTAGATATTTATTATATGGGTTTGTAGTAAATCAATTCTAGTATTGTTAATGTTTTATTTTTTAGAATATATAATTTATTATTATTATTTCTTATATGATTTCATTGTAAGTCAGAGTAATTGTTTACGATAGTTTAAATATGATATATATTGCATTTATAAGACCCGAAATAAATTACGGATGGTTTGTTGATTTGTTTCTTATTTATTTTGTACAAACTGCATATCAATAATCTTTTTAAATTTACAGGTTAAAGTTTAACGATGACCAAATTACTCTTGAATCATATGGAGAAATATTTCAGGAATCCCACGTTGTACATATGTTAGTATATATTTGTGAATCTGATGCCAATGAAATATTATCTCCAATACTTCCTAAAGACATACCGGATTGTTTGCGTAAGCGTGTTCACAATTGAAATATATTTATACAATTTTAACTGCTGTCAGGACAAGTCATTTTTAATTGTTTTTCTATATAATAGATGAAGAAAAAGAAAGTGACTTACATATGCAAACCTGGGTAATTTATTCACCATTTTAAAACATCAGATTGTGATTAAAATATTAACAGTGGATTATTTTAGATTGTAACTGAAGAGACATTTAAAGGCCACAAAGGACTAGGCCTTATTGATTTCAATAATGAACAATATCCATTTTCTCATGCCTTTCAATTTAACATTTTAAAAGAGAGTACCTATGGTGATTTTAAGAAAACGGTCTCCGCAAAGTTCGAAATTCCTATTAACAGAATGAAGTTCTGGGTGATTCTAAATCGATCTAATAAAATAAATAGACTACATGAGCCTGTAACGGATGATTTTCTTGACAAATGTGAGTTATTCATGATTTTTTATATCATATAATTACCATTTTATCCTTTAGTATCCTCAAAATTAATTATCATTGCTAGCAATGAAAGATGTCAAAACGGAGTTAGTAAAGCAAGATGGCGAATTGGTATTATATATGGAAGTGTTGGAAAATGTAATGTAATATTAAACTTCTATAAGCTATTATTTTCCTCGGAAAACTCATAAACTTATTTGCTAATTTTTATACAGGATGTGCCATTACATAGTAATATGATTATCGTCTTTCTTAAATATTTTAATCCAGAGGCACAATTATTAGAGTATGTGATTTTTAATATATTTTATTATTGAAGACATGTATGTTATTAAAACTAATGCAGCTTCTATTCATATGAAAAGAGGTCTTGGCCACTTGCGCGTTCAGATACATAGTAGAATTGATAGTATCTTTCCAATTATCTGTGCTAAGACGAATTTACCACCCAAATCACTTTTTGATATATACGAAGTGAGTTACTTATATTCTTTACTCGACTTTTAGAGTTTTTTGGGACGTTCAATGTATTTATTTATAAATCTAGGAATTTGCATCAGATATGAGTAAAAAGATGATACCAAAATTTACCTTCAAAATGGCTGGAATACAAAATGGTGATATAATATGTTTACAAAAAACATTAAAAAATAGAGAGTAAGTTACAGTATTATCACATAATTCCCTATTTTAGATTTTGAATTAAGAAAACTTCATCTTATGTAGGATTCAAAAACTTGATTATGCAGGCCGAATCCATAATATCCCTCAATTTTATGAATCGTTATCAATGAATATTATCGTTCAGTTCAAATCAAATGTCGGATATAAGGATCCGATACCTGAATTTACATTGGTTTTAAATAAGGAGATGACTTATAAAAGTGTACGTTAGATTATTTTATTGAAAATCATTATTTCTTTTTACATATTAAGATTTATTTCGTCTAACCCGAATTATTTATCTATAATTATATATAGATTGCTAGACATGTCGCTATTTATCTTAACACAGATCCTTTAAGGTTGCGATTTACGACATCAGGATATCTAAAAAAAGAAATCAAAGAAACAACTAGTCAAACTTTATTAGAGATACTCCGATCTTCAACGTGTTTATATTATGAGATACTTGACGACAATATATAAAATCCTTTAAAAAATTTTTTTTAAATATTGGTAAATGTTTTGAGATCAAACTTGAAATTTTGAATTCCGTAATTTTAACAATCTATCTAAATTTTATATTGAATTCTCATTATAATAAATTTTCTAATTGATTTAACTATCCTTTTTTATAAGGAATAATGAAATTCTTTAAAATGTTCAAATTATTAATAAATTGTATATAAATTTAGTATCGGTGATGATGCCAAATATAAGACCACTGGCTCTGTAAGTTATCCAACCCCGTGAAATATCCACAATTCAATTTTAATTTCAATTTCTACAGTTAATAAATATAAGTTATTACTTTAATTGCGTCACTCGACTTTCCCTATCTTGGGTTTAGAAAAATTTTTACAGGAATTTAAAATGAGCTATTCAGGTACATAATATTCGTTATTTATTTTATACTTATTTTTGACTTTTTAATAAGTTAGGGTAAGGGTTAGGATAAAGGTAGGCCTTATAGTAAAAACAATAATAGAAAGTTGTTTTGATTGATTATTTATTTTATATTAACAAAGTATTGTTACACGAGTTTTTATATTATTTTACAATAGAAAATTTTAAGGGTATGGGCATATAGATCATTTTTATAAGTTTTATATGGTACATTCAGACCTCGATATAGTCACTCTTGATATAGTCACGAAATATAAAAATAATTATATTCTCGTTTTACCAACCATTATAAAGCATAAGAAAATTAACTTCTG